CTATACAATTTTCATTAAAAATTACCTGTAAATTACAAAATAAGCACAAATAATCAACAACAAAATTATTGTAGTTTAGGGATTACTGTCTTACTAGACATACACTCTGCTGTTGACTTCCTTGAGTGGATCTACCGGTAATCATCGTCTGTGTCAACTTTCTATGTTTTTGATTTCTTTTTGAAAACTTTAAGTCTGATTGCTTGATATTGATCATATAGGTACTTCAGGTGGACCTCTCTCAGATTTGTGATAATATCTTCAATTCTCTAATTGAATAGTGTATTGCTAACAGGAAGCTATTTCAGCTGAGAGGCTGCTTGTTTGTTTATTAACCTGCTTGTGAGATATATATATTATACATCCTATTTCTGTTTTATTTTTAGGTTTTAGTGGACATTGATGGACACAAGACAATCCCCAGTATGGTAGCGTTCACATCACATGAAGTACTTGTAGGTGACCATGCCTTGGAGCAAGCTGAACAAAATCCATTATCAACCATCTACGATAGCAAAAGATTTATTGGTAAATTATTCAATCCAAATGAAATTGCCAAAGAAGCTTCAAGATATGAATTTAAGGTAAACTGGGTGGTCCTGTGTCAGAGCTGAGGTCAATAATATATGAATTTAAGGTAAACTGGGTGGTAATGTGTCAGAGCTGAGGTCAATAATATATGAATTTAAGGTAAACTGGGTGGTCCTGTGTCAGAGCTGAGGTCAATAATATATGAATTTAAGGTAAACTGGGTGGTCTTGTGTCAGAGATGAGGTCAATAATATATGAATTTAAGGTAAACTGGGTGGTCCTGTGTCAGAGCTGAGGTCAATAATTCATTTGTGTGAGAGGTCAGGAAATTGTCAAATCATAAGTGAAGGGCATGAAACCCAAAGAAGAGTAAAAACTCATAGATTATGGTTTATGGCAAACAGAAATCTTGTTTTATTGTATTAAGCAAAACTTGAACAACATTTGGAATCATTGGTTGGTGTATTTGATGTCTTTATTGTTGTGTACTTTCAGATCAAAGAGTATAATGGTCTGATTAGATTTGTTGTCGGTTCAAAAGACAACATGACTGAAGTCACACCGGAATATATTGGATCCAGAATCTTATTAGAATTGAAAAAAACTGCAGAAGAAAGATTAGAATCACCAGTAACCATGGCAGTCATGTCAGTACCTGCAGAGTTTAACGAACTCCAGAGAAACTTTACCAAGATGGCTGCCAGACTTGCTGGTAAGAATACTTTGATGTCTCTAAGCAAAACGATTACTTTATTTAACTCTGTTGATAAACTTCCTAAACATTTGTTGCTGCAATGTCAAGGTCATAATTTGTGATTCTTGTGTTTGGTTTTCAGGAATTAATGTGTTGCGTGTTATTAACGAGCCAACGGCTGCGGCATTAGCATATGGTTTGCATAAAAAAGAGACTGTATCCAATGTGATGGTGGTCGACTTGGGTGGTGGTACACTGGATGTCTCGCTATTGAACGTTCAAGGTGGAATGTTTGTTACTATGGCAATGGCAGGTAAGTAGCCAATAGCATCAAACTATCCAAAACAGCACAATGCAAAGAATTTAACTGTGTAGTTAATATAGGGCCACTTTACTATTAAAGAAAACACAATTTTGAAAAAAAATATTCTTATTTTTTACAGGAAATAATCACCTCGGAGGTCAAGATTTCAACAATCGTATTATAAAGTATCTGTTGAAACTAATTGAGAAGAGATTTAACAAACCACTAAACAATCCTGAAGATCTTCAAAAACTCCGGCTACTAGTGGAGAATGTGAAACTGAAATTAACGCAAGATAATTCTACGCTGATACGAACATCTTTCCCATCACTTGGAAATCATTTAGTCTTGCAGGAAAACTTCACACGAGAAACGTTTGAAAAATTAAATGTTGATCTTTTTGAGAAAGTATTACAGCCGATAAAAATTGTACTTGAGAAAAGTGAACTTCCTGTTGATAATGTTGATGAGGTGGTGTTAGTAGGCGGGTCAACAAGGATACCAAAAATACGCCAGTTAATCCAGAATTTCTTCCATAAAGTGCCAAATACAACGATTGATCCCGAGTTAGCCGTAGCATATGGTGTCGCAATCCAGGCTGGTATAATTGGCGGTGTATGGCCGTTACAAGTCAGTGCAATTGAAGTTCAAAGAAAAGTTGAAAAAATACATGTCACTTAGGGAGCTTCAAAAATTTACATCTAATTAAAGGGTCTTCTTAAATTTACATTATTTTTATTATGTCACAATTAAAAGTTGCAATCAGGAAATGTTCTGAGTTCAGCTTTCAACCTTGTTCTTTTGTGATAATGTCAACCATTGCAGGTATTGGCATTTCAGCATGCATGTATTTTGTATATCTTGGTATATAGGACACCTGCACTGGTGGACATTATCACAATAGTGTTACAGCCATTCTCAGAATAATTCGGTCGGTCAGTCAGTCAGTTAGCAAGATGACTTACAATTTTGTAAAACACTTCAGTTTTTGTCTAACCTTGACTTGACAGCACCGTCTCATTGACACATGCACAGTTTATATCATCCCATTATCATACTAAATGAAGCTTAAAGCCCAGTTTTTAAAAAAAATGATACACGTTCATTAGAAGACTTACAGATTTTGATATGGTTTAATAATTCTTGGTACAATATAGATAAACAAGAAAAGAAAAATAACACATATTTATAATGTTAATCACTCTATGAAATACTCAACCATACATGGCATGCCAAACAGCAATCAAATTCCAAAGTGTTCTGCAAAGTTGCAAGCCATCTTACTGTCAAAATAATTCCCCAAATCGCTATAAAACCAGACTGAAATACCTCGCAACACTAGATACAATCACAATCGTGTCATATTACATGACTCTGACATTCAGCCAGACTGGATAAAAGTATTGACATCATTAATTTGAAATAAATATTTTTATTTTGTTATACAATATGATTTTATCACTTAAATGTCTTTTTTTAAACTCTGTCAAATGTAAATTTTTAGAATAGAAGTTTCTAGTGATTATCAGTAGTTTAAAGTTCTTTTTTATTCAACACTTAAAATAATTTCTGCATACACCTTGACGACAACCTAAATGCTGAGAATTTAATCTCTGTTCAGGGGAATGCTCAGTGTGAATTTTATTATCAACAAAATTCAGGTATCTCACAAATGCTGCAAGTCATTGGAACAACTTTCAACTCCTTTCTCTGCACATTATTTTAAATTATTCATAAATATTTATAACAATAAAAACTATGTAGAGATGTTTTATTTATTTGGCCTATGTTTGGGTGGAGTACATCCTCCAGAGTCGATTGAATGAGAGAACTGAGTGACATCAGGTTTATTAAATGAGTGTGATAATTTTCATATACTGCAAGTCTTTGGCAAGGTATGTATGAAAATTACAACAAGAGTTCAATAATTTTATTGGCAATATTTACATATTTTATGACAACTCTGTGCCCGGTACATTGGGGGTAACTGATTCCATATGCTGAAAAGTATGTATAATGCGACTTTACCAACAAAATGCATGTGGCCAATTCCATGGTGACGAACGTTGTCCGTTATTTCAGTTACCCTCTTTACTAGAGATGGTGACGAACGTTGTCCGTTATTTCAGTTACCCTCATTACTAGAGATGGTGACGAACGTTGTCCGTTATTTCAGTTACCCTCATTACTAGAG